AGTTTGAACTACCGTTACTCCTCGTGGATTGAGGAGTAACGGTAGTTCGAACTAGGAAGCCTAGTTCGAACTACCTAGTTCGTGCCGCGTTTAGCCGCACGGCACGGGGTTCGAACCAGCCGGGATTTAAAAATGGCGGCGCCCGGCTTATGCAAATGAAGCCCGGGAAATTCAAATCCTGGGCTTCATTTGCAAGTGCGGTATGCCTACATTACCCCGCTAGTTCGAACTAGCGGGGTAGTTTAGACATACCCAAAGTTATTTAATGTGAGGTAGTAACCATGCAAGGGGAGCCAAACAAAACATCTACAATATTAAAACTAACCTAAATCTGATTACAAATGCTATGGTTTGCTAGCCCTAACTGATCACATAAGGGAGGTTCGGGAGGCTATACGTAGAGCAAGGGGAAGGAGAGCTCTCCCCACTCCGTGAAGCTTGAACTGATCGAGGTACCCAGGGGGCGATAGTAGCTGGGGATCCAGTGCTGGAGACAGGGTGAGCAGAGCCCCCAACACAATCAGCCATGAGAACATGAAGTCCTACTGAAGGCATCAGAACACTTTACTTGAGCATAACAATGGTTCAAGAAGGAACATTACATTTGTTTATGCATAGACAGGGAGATGGTTCAAAGGAGTATTCTAAAGTTGTTTTGTTTTAGGCTAGACAATAGAAACATCATTCCTGGCTATGGGCGGTGTCTTTTCCAGGGAGCTCATCATTAGTCAGTTTCAGTATTTTGGCTACCAATAGAGGGCCTTGTCTGGAGGGGTTTAGGTGTGTCTTCCCCTGCCTTTTCATTGCTTTTTGTATTGGCTTTGGTTCAAGCAGAGGCTGGGGTTGGTGGGGGGCTCTTCCATTAATACTATGGCTTGGTTCCCCAAGAACATAGAGCTGGCGGGTAACAAGTCCCCCCATTGATGAGGTGCTTGCATTGAGCAGGTATCCCCATCACATCCTTATTCTGTGATAGAGGGCCTGGTCTTCAATCCATTGCAGCCACCACATCAGTCATTGCATCCAGCAAACCAGTAGAACCAGACCAATTACTAGCATAATTTGGCAACCAATGATCATCACAATGGGGTGAAACGTAATGTTTAAAAGACCTATTACACTAGGGCTCCACCCAAGCATAATCTTCCGCCTGGAGTGATGGCCTGTGTTTTAAACTGTGACTGCTAGCCTGGAGATCTCCGCCTGGCGTGATGGCCTGCGTTTTAAACTGTGACTGCTAGCCTGGAGATCTCCTGGTTATGGTGGTGAAACTTCAGTTTGCCTTCTCCACCATAGCTCAGAGCTTCTGAAGCTCACTTTGTAAGGAGGTATGAGTTAGTCATCCCTTAATAGCAATGGGACCCATTCCCAGTGAAATGAGGGAAACATCCTTGTAGAGCTCAGGATAGGCTTTTAAATGCTGCACTGTCTATATAGGCACAGTAAACTCACTATCACAGCTGACAGCAGTGGTTACATTACAGAAACGACGATTAAGGTCAGGCACCATGGGCTGAATCCAATGTCCATTAATCAGTACAATGCTACATCTTGTTCTCAAACACACACGTTTTACCAACATAGACAAAACAGGCCCATCTTCCTGGATAACATCAAAGGCACAGTGAGTTATTCTCGGGTTGTGGAGAGAAGCATTCATCATTTTCCGCCAGTGTTTGGTCTTTACAAATATAGCCCGAACCATACCTTTTTATATTTACGTGCTCCACACATTATCTTTCTCCCAGGCCCAAGTGTTGGGATCTCCGAAGTATATTACTGAATTATCATTAATTTGTAATCCCAGTGGGACTACTGGGTGTATTATTCTGATTTCTTTGCCTGCCACAGTTTTCAGGAATAACCAGTCTTTGATGGTGGTGATTGTACGAAGCATGAACTAGTCTCCACCAGGGCTGGAGGACTAGTTCTTCCTCCATTACATGGAGCTGAATTAAGTTGATTACCTCTGTGGGAATTTATCCTGGTATGGTTTGCCAAATTATTCCTGTGATTACATTCTGAGTGAGAGACTGAGCTTGCTCACATGCTAAGGTTAAGGTGACATTGTTCTGGAGCACTGTAGACCATGCCTTCAAATTGTATTTCAACTTCCTTCGGAGCAGTCCAAGGTTGAAGAACCAAATATTCTTGTTGATCCAATTTTAACATATGGGCTGTGTCTAGACTGCATCCCTTTTCCGTAAAAGGGATGCAAATTAGACACATCCGAATTGTAAATGAAGCGGGGATTAAAATCCCCTCCGCTTCATTTGCATAAACATGGCTGCCGCTTTTTTCCGGCTCAGAGCTTTGCTGGAAAAAAGCGCCAGTCTAGACGGGGATCTTTCGGAAAAGGCTTCTTAAAATAAGGAATAAGGGATCCTTCGGAAATGGCAGAGGGGAGCAAAGTTTGTGATCAGAGGGTTGAAAATTTAAAACAGTTTTTTGTTGTTGGTCCAGTTTTGTTGTGTACAAGCCAGGCTCATGGACTCCTTCTGAAATGGAAAGGTGCCCATAGAATTTGAACCAAATTGTTGGCATGAGCTTGTCACAATGTATGCCTTTTAATGGAACTACCCACTCTGGGGGACCTTGCTGAATCAGCTCATGTCGAGCTATAGCCCAGTTTAGTGGTTCCCTGTTTACAAGGAACCATGTGATATTCTTGCTGGCAGGTGTGATTAGAGACAGCTACAGTTCCTCTCCAGGTAGTGGAGGCATCTGGGAGCCGGCAACAATGACATGTAAGGGCATGGTTGGTTCCCAAACTGTGGAGGAAACCAGGAATATTCTGCGCCTTTCATCACCAAGGAGACTATGGCTTTGGATGGTGTTTGTCCCTTTTGAGACCACTGTGGTTTACAGAAGAATGAGATGGAGTCTGGTATGGTCTCAATTTCATAGCAAAACTTGAGTGACTCTGCAGTGATAATCTGTGTACAATTGGCAGCATTTTCCCAGGGCAGGCAACCTGAGGATTTGTCAACAGTGTGGAACTTATAGCGACACTGCAGGGCCAGAGGGTTGCTCCCATTCCCATAGAATCCATGCATGTGGCACAACAATTTTACTTCCTGGGCTCCAGCAGGCAAGCACCACCACAGGTTCAGAAATCACAGATCCAGCATAGAATTTGGGCAGCATCAGACTCCAGATACTTATGAACATTGGAGTGCTAGGGCAACAGTGGGATGTCATGGCTTGCGCTCAGAATCTGTGAGAGGGAAGACAGGGGAGAACAAACACCCACATTCCTACTCCATCCTCTCCCCTGGATATACTGGGAGAATCTGGACCA